AAAGACCTTAAAAAACCCACCAAACTCTTAGAAATCATTAAAATCTTTTGGCAAAGTAGCAGGATACAAAATTAATATTGAGAAACAAGTAGCTTTTCTATTTATCAACAATGAACAGACAGAGAAAGTAATCAGGGAAAGAATCCTATTTAAAATAGCCTCAAAAAATAAGATACCTAAGGAAACCAAAGACCTTTTCAAGGAAAACTATAAATCACTGAAGAGATATTGAAGAGGGTATCAGAAGATAGAAAGACCTTCCATGCTCATGGATTGGTAGAATCAACGTTGTGAAAATGACCATACTATGAAAAGCAATCTACATGTTCAATGCAATACCTATCAAAATTACAATGACATTCTGCACAGAAATAGAAAAATCAATCCTGAAATACATATGAAAACACAAAAGACCTCTAATAGCCAAAGCAATTCCGAGCAAAATACCAAATGCTGGAGGCATCACAATAGCTAACTTAAACTATATTACAGAGCCATAACAATAAAAACAGACAGAAAGACCAATGGAATAGAATAGAAGGCCCAGAAATAAACCCACAGAGCTGTAGCCAATTGAGTTTTGACAAAGGAACCCAAAGCACATGAAGGAGAAAAGACAGCCTCTTCAATACCCTTTGCAGGAAAACCTGGATATCCACAGATAGAACAATGAAATTAGATCCTTTTCTCTCACTCTGTACCAATATCAACTCAAAGTGGGTCAAAGACCTTAACATAAGGCCTGAAACTTTGAAACAACTATATGAAGTAGTAGAAAATACACTAGAACATAGGCATAGGCAATGACTTCCTAAATAAAACTCACCAACCAAGAGAAAGAGTGAACAAATCTACAAATCTTCTACACAGCAAAAAAAAAATGAGTCACTGATTTTAAGAGACTACCCACAGAATGGGAGAAAATCTTTGTTAATATTCATCCAATAAGGTATAATATCCAGAATCTACAGGGAGTTAAAAAACTCAACCCCCAAAGAATCAACAACCCAATGAGAAAATGGGCACATGAATTATATAGGGAGTTTTCAAATGGCCAATGTACATGAAGAAGTGCTCAACTTCCCTAGTTACAAAAGTGATGCAAATCAAAACTATACTAAGTTTTCATCTCACCCCATTATTATGGCCATATTCAAGGGCAGTAACAACAACAAATGCTGGTAAGGATGTGGTGAAACAGGAACCCTTATACATTGTTGATGGGAATGCAAATTAGTACAACCATTATAGATAGCAATATGGAGATTTCTTAAAAATCTAAACATAGACCTGTCATATGATCCAGCAATCCCACTCCTGGGGATATACCCAAAGGAATGTGACTCAGGTTACTCCAGAGGCACCTGCACACCCATGTTTATTGCAGCACTATTCACAATAGCCAAGCTATGAAAACAACCAAGATGCCCCACTACTGATGAATGGATCAAGAAAGTGTGGTATTTCTACACAATAGAATTTTACTCAGCTATGAAAAAGAATAAAATCTTACCATTCGCAACTAAATGGATGGAACTGGAGAACATCATTCTGAGCAAGGTTAGCCAGGCTCAGAAGACCAAAAATCATATGTTCTCCCTCATATACAGAGTTTGGATCTAGGGCAAATACAGCAATGTGGTTGGACTTGGGTCACATGATAAGGGAAGAGCACATATGGGAGTTATGGGGATAGGTAAGAAACCCAAAACATGAAAGTATTCAATGATCCGACTGCAGAGGAACTAATACAGAAACCTTAAAGTGACAGAGGTCAATATGGGAAGGGGATCAGGAACTAGTGCAAAGGTCAGTTAGAGATGAATTAACTTGGGTGGTAACACATTTGTACATGGAAGCAATGTTAGGAACCTCTCTGTATAGCTATCCTTATCTCAACTAGAAGAAACGCTTTGTCTCTCTTATTATTGCTTATGTTTTCTCTTCAACAAAATTAGAGATAAGGGTGAACAGATTCTGTGTGGAAGCGAGGGGAGGGTGGGGGGGAGGGAGAGGTAGGGGACTGGAGGGAGAAATGACCCAAACAATGTATGCACATGTGAATAAATGAATATAAATAAATAAATAAATAAATAAATAAATAAATAAATAAAAGAAACCCCTTTGAATGAAAGACAGGACTGTAAAATAGGTATAGTGTATGTGGGGGGAGGTACTTGTGGGAGAGGAAGGGTGAATGGAGGAAATAAAAGTGAGGGAATATGGTTGATGGACTTCATATACATACATGAAATAGAACAATGAAACCTCTTTCAATTGTTTTAAGTGGGATGGGGAGGGGGTTGGGGGAGATGGTGGGGACGACCAAACCAATGTACAATGTAAGCTTATTTGAAATTGTCACAATGAATTTTAATGCAACTGAAATTTTAAAAAAGTAAAAAAGAAATATAATTCTAAAATTCATATGGAAACAAAAAAGAACCTAAATAGCCAAAGTAATTCACACCCAAAAGAACAATGCTGGAGGAATCATAATACCTGATTTCAAAATATACTACATAGCATATCAACAAAGACATCATGGTATTTGCATGAAAACAGATGTGCAGATCAATGGAATTGAAAGAGGACTTAGAGATAAACCCAGGTATCTATAGCCATTTATTCTTGACAAATGAACCAAAAGTATACATTGTAGAAAAGTTAGCTACTTTAACAAATGGTGCTGGGAAAACTGGTTATCCACAAATAGAGAACTGAAGCTATATACTTTTCTTTCACCCAATACAATTTTTACAATTAATATAAACTAATAATAAATACTCAATGTATTTGAACAAATTAAGGACAGGAATCCTATGGGATCTCTTTTTACAAGTAATACTCTAATTCTGACACAAGATACCTGAAGCTAACATTCACTTTTACAAATTGCAAAACTCAGTTCCACCAGACTGACATCCTTCAGATACCATCCTCAAGGGGATTCACAGATTCCTACAATTCTGCTTGGCTAAAGACAAACTGAGGATATGCATAAACTTTTCCATTTCCCAATTTTGAAGAAGACTCAAAACCCAGAAAAACATTTGGCTTACATTTTCTGTTTTATTATAAAGAATGCAACTCAAAATTAACCAAATGGAAAAGTTGCAATGAACAAGGGAAAGAGGGAGAACATTACCTATAGCTTCAATGCCCTCTCTCTGTGTGTCACTCTCTAGCATGTCCATGTGCTCACCAGCCTGGGAACTCACTAAATCTTATTATTCAAGAGCTTTTGTATAGCTCAAATCTCTACCACACTCACCATGGAGATTCATGGATAGGTCTGAACATTCCTACTCTCTATCACATACTGGACCTTCTGGTGTCTAGCCCCATTCTGAAGTTATCTAGTGGATATGATGTGTACAAGTCACTTCATTAGAACAAATTCAGGTGTGATCAATGGGCCTGATTTTGAGTGACAATAGACACTCTCATCACTCAGTAGTCTAGACAAAAAAGTATATGGTATACTTATGGTATGGTATGATATAGGAAGGAAGCAGGCAAGAGCAGGGGCAAGTTTAGCACAGGATATCCAACAGCAGTGATAGCTGATCTCATAAGGGCAATCTATGAAATCTGAATCGCCCTTCAAAGTTGCCCCATGTTGGCCCAACATGGACAGATGTTTATGTTTTTGTACCCATGTGAGCTGCACCAGAAAGGAGACTGAATTTGGAGAAAGCAGTTCCCTGTAGCAGTTCCCTTCTTCTACATGAGAAGAAGCTGACAGGTGACAGCTGCCTCTAACACAACTCACAGCAGGTGGAAAGGCAGATGTAGGAGACCAACTTCAGGATCATCAGGTGTCATTAAGGGAAGAGGGAGCTGGGGTATTTATACACCACCTCCTGAGGGTCAATGGTTGACTGAAGAAAATACTTTCCTGGTACTGCCAAACTACAGGATGAGCTATAGTAGCCAAATAAAGTCCCCAAGACAAGGGGTGCAGGAGAGGTAGACAGAAGTGGAGTAGATGGAAGGAACACATGCAGAACTGGGAATGAGCTCCAGGGGATGTAGTGGCTGTTACATATGGCAACGCAAACCTTCTGAACTGAGTAGATTAATGGAACACACCCAGTAGCATGAATGTATCCCATACTTGGTTACTATATTGAAGTGTAATGGCAACTCCTTTGAGAGTTGTCCTTGCCAGAGTTACCTTTACTTTCCCCTTCCTTAGCCTGTTTGCAAGTTTGTTTCCCCTTCCCTAATCCTTCTTTTATAATTAGGTCTCCTCCCTTTTGCCCAGCCTTCTAAACACTAAAGAGAAACCTCACCTATATGATTAAGATGTTTCATACTAAATAATGTTCCTTTAGATTTACAGAGGTCTGAGCACGTGGTGACTTTTGTAATGAATCTCCATAGTTTTTATTTTTATACATCAATTAACACACAGCATGGCATGCAAATTGCTGTGAGATTTAACTTGCAGAAAAGTAATGTGTCTGTTTAAAGAAAAATACAGGAACTAGCCCCATGGAGAATGATGTCATTGTGATTTTCCAGCTGGAAGTAAAAAATAAGACACAGGGGCAGAATGATGAAGACCCCACTCAGCATATACCATTCTTGCCCCTCATTGCACTGTATTTCCTTTTCTTCCCCATAGAGGATCTTTGCACCCCCCGCAAACCTCAAGATGAAAGTTTGAGGATGATAGACCTTCCCTTTAGCAGTGCTAGCTTTAGAATAAATCTGATTCATTTCTACCATCTCTTTTTTCCTAAACATTGGCTTTGAGTGGTGAGTATCGCACACCTTAATACAGTAGCATAACTGCAAGGATGGACTAGACCTGCAACTTCAAAGCCAGGGGAACCTGAAGGCATAGGAGGAGGGAGAGCCAATTACCAGGCTTACAGGGGATGAGGGCTGCTGTAAAGAAAAATCCCAGAGCTATTACTAATATTACAATTCTTACAGACAAGGGACAGGAAATGGCACAAATGTGGATAAATTTATGCAGTATGGCAGGGAATTTGGACTGCAGGGGCAGTAGAGAATCCAAACTTCACTCCATAGAGCAGGCTGCTGCAGGCTTCTTGCAGATCCAGAATTTCTCTTGTTTACAAGGGGCATCATTCCAGCCTTCATCTCTAAATTCTGCACAATCTTCATCCCAGTCATTGTTGGGTTCCCCTTCATTCCAATACTTTGTGAAGCTGCAAAGACCAGGAGAAGCTGAGTCTCTGCTCAGCTCCACTCTGTAAACTATATTTCTAGCATCTGGAAACTTGATGCTTTCACATCTACCCTGCATGCACATGGCAGCCATGCCTTGCTCTGGACCCAATGATCTCCCTGAGTCACTTGACCTTGGCTCCTGTCTCTTTTGTCTCCTGAGGGAGTCGTTTTCAGATACAAACCAATCAATCCAGACTCCACATTCCCCAACCACCTTCCTTACTATGCTCTTGCACCTTTCAAGGGCCAGGTATGAGACAATCAGGGACAGTGTCTATACCCCAGAATCATTCCAAACTAGCCAGTCCTAAGCCTGCTTACCCTGCCTCACCTATTTTCTCTCATGGACATCGCAGTAAAGTCTTGCCCACAAGTTTTCCACCCTCTGCCTGGTCCTTTCTAGTGTAACCCCCATGGCATGATGCAAGCTCCATTGTTTGGGATCTGTGAGCATAAGAAGCTTTATTTTCAATGGTGATAGCACCCTGAACCACTGGCCTTACTATTCCTCATATTTTCTATAAATACAATTGTATTTAAATCACCAACCCAGACTCCAAGCTCCTCCTGCAGCTCTATTGTGGAATTTTGGGCACTAACCATCCTATCTGCACATGGGTATATAGATCACCTTCTTCTATTCAGTAAATGTCACAGAATCTTACTCCGATGGAGCCAGGAAATGGGGGAAGCACCACAAAGATAGCTCAAGTCAGAATCTGAGAATCCCATCCCATTCTATAGGTTGCGTCCTTCTCCCTGGATCTACCTGGGTGACAGAGGTGAACCATCCACCCAGTGCCAAATGCCTTCATGTTTCAGGTCTGAGAGACCCATCCAGGAGTAGCCTTTATTCTTAGATGTGTTTTGCAGGAATCTCTTGGAAGGAGAAGAAGAGGAGTCAGGAAAGAACTCTCCCTCCTCCTTCTCTCTCTCCGTCCCTCTCTCCCTCCCTTCTTCCCTCTCTCCCTTTCTCTCTGACAGTACTGGGGCTGAAGTTTTGAATTCAGGGCCTTGCATTTGCTAGATTAGCATTCTAGCACTTGAGCTACACTTCCAGCTAATTTTTGCTTTGTTTTTCTTACAAGTTCTCATTCTCTTTGCCTGGGGATGGCCTCAGACATCAATCCTCCTGCTTATGCTAACTTTTTGCCCAGGCTGTTCTTGAACCTTGACCCTCCTTTCCCACTTCCCAAGCCTTTTGCCAATCTCTTAGCATAAAGTTCTTGTGGCATTCTGACCTGTAGCCCTCTAGTGTACTAGGGCATGACCTGTGCTCAGGAGGTCTGGGTTTTCCCACATCTGTATCCTATACACAGGTATGTTCTGATTTGCTCACAGAACATGCACACCTGGCCACTCGTTGTCCAACCTTGGTATTAGGGCATGCTTATTTGTCTTCTGAGCATTATCTAATCAATTTACTCATGACTGGGTCTAACGTGCTATCAACAGATAGCACAGCAGTTTCCAATTACTGAAAATGCACATGACCTCTTTTCACCTCTGCTTTGACTGATGTCCTATTGGTAGCATGAAATCAGCCAGGCTGGCAATATTTACACCAGGGAATTGGCAAAAGGTACATGGTAGGACTTTGTGGCTCAATAGAGCAAGTTGTTAAACTCAGACCAGCACACTAATGGGGATCCTTTACTCACTCCCGTAAGTATTCTCTTGTGTTCAGATCTGGTGTATGTCTCTTAAAGATGCTTGAGAATCCCCCCATTCACACCATTCTATTCTCCCTGTCCAAGTGGGAAAAAAAGTGCCATGTCCAAAAATCCAACTGACCAACCACCTTCTCCTTATAGATGGCCAGCAGCCAGATGTATGTCCCAGAGCAGACTGGACCCCAATCAGGCATACCTGTTCCTCATCACTTTTGATGACAACGAGTTGTGCTCCCACTCCCTGGCAGGCGTTGACAGAGTCATGCCAGTTCCGTTGGGTAATGGAGAATAAGTAACAATTTCCTAGGAAGGATGTCCAGTCCCAGGGGCAGGCTTGGCACAGGTGGTCTGTTGGGGGAGTTTGGTCAGGCTGTACCCATACTTGCATGCCCATGGTCCTGCGTCTGCCCAGTCTTCAAGTGCTCCATAGTCAGGGCTCTCCCTTGACACAATGCTCTGGAGGGCTTCTTGATTTCTTGAGCCCCTTCTCTACTTCAAGAGGACCCAGGAGACCTGGCCCCAACTCCATGAGACTTATGGAGCACAGAACAGAGGCCAGGAGGCTGGCTTAACTGAGTGCCCATTGTGTGCATATCCCCCCAGTGACCACAAGGTTCCACCCTTGATATTATCTTTTTCCAATTCTCAGAGAAGTAAATGAGGTAAGAGAGGGCTTGAGAGGCCAGCAACGTGTCACCCCATGAAGACCATTTCAGGCCCTTGGAGTTCCTCTTTTTTTTCCAGTCACTCACCCACTCCAACTTTCAGCTGGGTCAATTTCTGGGAGATCTCATTTTGCTTTAACTGTTCTTTTTCCTGAGAGGTGGAAATCTTGGAGACTGTGCCAAGAAAAAAGAATCTGCAATTGTTAAACACCTATTGTGGTCACAGACTGTACTGGGTCCACATCTTTCCTGAGAGCCAATGTTTTGTTTAATGCCATTTGAAAATGAAGAAATCTGACACCCAGAGAATGCTGAACCATAGGGACAAGTGGAGCCAGGAGCCTCCCAGGCTCTTTCTCGCCCCCTCCCCTGCTATTTCTCTGACCCCTCTCCACCTCCCTTCCCTCCACTGCTCCTTCTCCCTCCACTGCTCTTCTTCCTCCTTCTTTTCCCCAGCTCCACCTTCTTTCCCTCCTCTTTTCCTTTCCCTACCTTCCCCTGCACCAGATGTAGGAGGGACCTTGAGAAGTCTCCAGAATTTGCAGCAGGAACTGGTCACAGCTTCTATCCTACCTCACTCCTTAACCTGGCTTCCCTAGCCAAAGGGTTAGAACAGGTGCCCCCCAACCCTCAGACCTGTCTGACCTTTAACAAGGATGGCCACCAGAAGAACAAGGAAGAGCATGAGGATCAGAAGCCGTAGCACCAGGGGGATGTGACCATGGGTTAGATACCCTGAGGAGATAAGATCAAGTTTTCTAGTATACCAGTGTTCTTGCCTCATCCTGGCCCAGAGACAGCATGGCCACCAATCTGCTTCTCCCCAGGGCTCATTGTTTCAGATGCTCAGCCTCCACCCTCTCAAGACCATTACTTGCAGCAGCTGTCACCATGCCCTGCCCCAGAGTCCAGGAGTCCAATTTTTCAGCCCCAACCATCCCTCAACCCAACAACATAAGCCCCAGCTTCTAACTCCCCAGAACTAAAGAGTCCAGACCCTCAGAATCCACTTTTTCATGAACCAGTAGTCCACTTCTCAGCCACAATTTCCCTAGGATCCAGAAATCTAGCCCTGACTTCTTCTTCCCCAGGACCCAGGAATCCAATCACCAGCCTCCACTTCCATAGGTCACAAGGAGTTCAGGATTCCAGCCTTGACCATTCCAGATTCATAAATTCACATCCTCAGCCTCTACTTCCCCAGGACCCAGGAGTCCAATCCTCAGCCTCCACCACCCCACTATCTAGGTGCCTTGTCCCCACCATCCACCACCCCCATATCTAGAAGTCCCATCCTCTAGTGTCCACCTGTCCAGGACAAAGGATTCTAGTTTGTCATTTTCCATCTCCCAGGACATAGGAGCACAGATCCACAACCTCAAGCTCCCCAGGACAGAGCAGCCCACACCCACCAGTCTCCCTGGTGGAGACTTCAGTCCCTAAGGAAGGACTGAAGAGTTTAAATTCCCATCCTCCAGCTCCTCAGGGCACAGGTACATGGGAGGACCTGTCCTCCACCTCCACCCCCTAACCCTGGTTTACCTGCAACATGTTTGAGGCTGTGAATAGGAAGGAATCCAAAGCTACTTCGGGAAGATCTGGTGTTGTTGGCTATCAGTTCCTCATCATCTGAATGGGCAGAGCATCAGTAAAAGTCTGGGCAGGATGAAACACCAACTGGCTCCCTGAACTCCTCCCTGAAATACTTGAATCCCAGCCCAGCCTCACCCAGAGAGCCCAACTGCTGCTCCCGCACTTCCTTGGAGTCACTCATGGTCAATTCTGTCCACCAGTGTCCAGGACATCTGAGAATCACAGCTTTTATTTACCATCCCATGCTCCCCACACCCCAAGTCTACCCTTATCAGGAAGAGAAACACGGAACTGGCTTTGGACACCACAGAAGACCAGAGGGAGGGGCTGAGCTTCTGACACAGCAGGCACATGCCAGATGTTCCAGAAATTCCAGGGAGTGGTTAGGAAGATTTGGGGTTCATAGAAGAAAAAAACTGGTGCACTTATGGTGTGGCCAATATGTGAGAGGCTTTTAACAAAACTAGTAACTTGTAAAATATACCTATGTTGTTTTATCTCCTCTCTGTGTGATGAGGGTGAGCTAGCAACATGCACAGCCTTCCCAGAAACACAATCCTTCTAACCCTAGGGGTTGTTGCCCTGATTTGCTGATGTACTCATTCATGTTGACTTCTGCTGACTGGTAGTTTGGTCTGACTCATCATTGCTTGTGTTTTTTAAATGTCTGCCAGTCACTTTTCTAGCTACTTTATATATTAATTTGTTTAATCTCCCCAGACTCTGGTAGATAACCTACTGTCCATTTTAAAATTGAATGAATTTTAAATGAGAAAATGAAGTGCAGAAAGTTTAAGCTGCACACACGTGATTAAGCTGGTCACACGTGATTAATGATAGAACTGGGATTCGAACCTAGAGAACTTATCTATACATTCCACATCATGAACCCAGAAGAACCAAATAGTCTCAAAGAGGAAACAAAATATCTCCTGTGTATTTTATCAAGATTGTTCCAAATTGGAAAAACCCAAGTAACTACCAGAAGGTCAATGAAAATAAAAGTAGTATATTCAGTAAACAGAAAAACCAATCTTCTGATCCAAGTACAAATCTCCCAAAAAAGTGAAGGGATTCATATGTAATGTGTATATACTATGAAATTTGATTTTATATAGATTTCAAGAATAGGTAGGATTAATGTTTGATATGAAGTCAAAATTGGTGTTTCCTTGAAGGGGTAAATGAGGATTGACCAGGAGGAGGTTCAAAGAATTCTGTGAATTGAACTTGTTATATATTTTCAACTGAGAAGTAGTTTCTGAAATATAGTCATACATAAGTGTGGATCTCTAAATATAAGAATTTTGTATTGTATTATATATATATTATATCTCAGTTTTAAAATGGAAAATACATGCATACATCATGATTAAACACTAAGGTGTTGACTGTATCTCCATTGTTTTGTTATTTTAATAAATGGTTTATTTCAAAATTATTTTATATTTGTGGTAATATTGCAAGGACAGCACTAAGACTTCCCATATTCCTATCACCTCTAATATTGAAGAAAATTAGTGATAGCATATACACCAATATTGACTTCTTAGTTATCACAAATGCACACAGTAAACTCCACATATTATTAAGATTTCACCTTTTCCTTTTTTTATTAGTACATATTAATTGTACAGAGGTGTTTCATTGTGATATTTTCATAAATGCATATAATGTGCTTTGATCAAATTCACCCCTCTATTACTCTTTCTTATCCCCCGTCCCCCTAAGAGTCCATTATTTTTCCCTCATGTCTTTCTTCTGTTCTCATATTCCATCCACACTCCCCTGAGCTGTGACAGTTTCTCTGACTTTCCTTGTTATGATGGTGGTGACCTCTTTGAGAACTACAGGTCAGATATTTTGTAGAGTGTCTCACAATTTGGTAGTGACTGACATTTTTCTCATAGCATCCCTGGGATTTTGAATTTCTTGGAGGAAGATCTCCAGGGTGAAGGGAGGTTCTCTTCACATCCTCTGTTTCAGGGTACAGGCGTCGGTATGATATCACTGAGGAGATGAAGCCTTATGACTTGGATGTGGTAGGGTTTGGCATGTTTGTCCACATACATCAACAATTTTGAAAAGTAAATAAACAGCATGCGAAAGTCGACGAACATGTCACACAAATATTTTAAAGTAGACAATTGGGCTGGGTGTGCTGGCCCATGCTTATAATCCAAGCTTTATGGTAGGCATAGGTAGGAGGATCACAGTCCAAGGCCAGCCCTAGAGGGGCTGGAGGCCTGGCTCAAATGGTAGAGTGCTTGCCTAGCAAGGGCATGCTCCCTGAGTTCAAACCCCAGTACCACACAAAAAAAATCAAGGGCTCAAAGAGATAACTGTGCACTCAGGTTCACATGTTATTTATCATAACCAAAACGTGGAAGGAACCCAAGAGTAAGTTGATAGAGAAACATATTAAAAATGTGATTTGTTCATGCAATGGAAATAAAGGACATTCTGACACACTATACTCAAATGAGCCCTGAGGACAGTATTCTCAGTGAAATGAGCCAGCTTCCCAAGGGTAAGTACTGTGTGATTCCATTCATGGGAGGACCCCAAAATACTCACATTTTTAGATATGGGAAATAGAAGGGTGGATGTCAGGGGCTGAAGGCAGACAACCACAGAGCTATTGTTTGATGGGTTCAGAATTTCAATTTTTGTGCAGTGAAGAGTTCTTTGGAAGGATGGTAAGTGTTGGTTGTCTAACATAGTGTGTTAGGCACTGATCTGCACATTTAAATGCATTACATGGTATAGTCATTATTTCTGCTCCAATTAAAATAACATTTTATAAGGTAAATGATCAGAACAGACCCCTCACCAAAGGAGATATGTAGGAAGCAAGTAAGTATATGGAAAATCCTCATCATTTGTGTGACAACGTATTCTATTCATCCATCAGTGAGGTGTACATGAACACACATCAGTCCAGGTCCTACTTGGGAAATTTACAGCATGCTTAGTCACATATACTCACTACCCAGGGCAGGAGGACACTGTCAGCCATGCAAAGCCACTTGGAGGGTGTGCTTAGAATACTGAACAGCCAAAGGATGGGGAAGCAGATCTTACAGTAAAAGAGAATGGGGTTACTACTGGGTCCCCCAAGAAAGAAAGATGGATGGATAGAATAGTTCCATGATCAAGGAGCTATTTGGGGATAAGCAGAAGCTGAACCTGGTCCCCTTAATAAGGAAGGTTGTTTGGTTAGGGGACTTAGAGGTTGACAAATTTTTGGAGAGTGGGAGAAAGCACCCCACCTTCCAAAAAATTTACATTCAAGCATTTTGTATGTGGGTGGCTACATACAATACCACAGAACTAGTCTTTGGTATGTATTATACATCAGATACAATTACTGCATTCTTATCCATCTCACATATTTGCCAAGACATTGACTATGGATGAATCATTCATTATCTGCATGTAAGTGGAACCTGCATATTTTTTATCTGCCTATTTCTACATATAGGATGAGGACTTCATTATGGCTCTTATATCTTCATGGAAACATGAAGCATTGGTGTTATCTCACTATTTGCAGGTATAGACACTGATTTCATAGGCTATTCACTCCCATGAGGACAAATATCATTTTGAGGATACTACTAATTTCCTATCAGCTATGCTTTTAATTTAATAGGATGAATTGAGGTGGGCTTTAAGTTGATAGATTCATTCTAACAAAATTCTTTGCCTCCTTCCATTTTATTCTTATTCTTCCATTCATTAACACAGCCTCAGCTATAATTCACTTCCTGTTTCTCATGAAACTGGATCACTACAAATAACCTGACTCAAACAAAATCCAATTCCATGCATGTTATTCTATTAAAGATATCTATAATTCCTTTTCTTAATTTTAACCTTATTAATGATAGTCCTGGAGACCCACACAACTATATCCCCCTTCCTCACATCAAACCAGAATGATATTTCCTATTTGCTTATGCTAGCTTATGATCCACTCCTAATAAGTTAGGAGGAGTCTTAGCCCTTATTTTCTTCACTGTTACTCCAGTCATTATCCCTATTCTCCATCCATCTAAACAATGAAGTCTAATGTTCCATTCCCTTAGCCAATGCTTATTCTGAATTTTAACAGCAGATCTCTTCACTATCATATGAGTACACAGTTTTCTCAAGTGTCCATAGAACAGTCACCAAGGTAGCCCATATCAAGTGGTATCGAACAACACTCCATATATACATTTTTTCCTTTCTCTGTGCTGGCCTTGAATCTAGGATTTTGATAACTAGGCAAGCATTCTACCACTGATCCACATCACCAGTCCAATCCTCAATACATTTAAATAAATGGAATAGTACACAGTATCTGCTCATAATCAAATCTAACTAGAAATTAGTCACAGGCAATTCAAGAAATCCTCTAACAGTTGGGAATTAAATGACACACTTCTAAATAATTCATCATTCAAGGAATAAGTCTTGGAAGACCTAAAATACTTAGTTTTGAGTGAAAATGAAAAAGAAATATCAATATGTCAGATACAGCAACAGCAGTACTGAGAGGGAAATTGATAGTATTAAATGCTCACAAAAGAAAAGAGGTGCTGGATGAAAACCTCAAGAGGCTGGTTGGCTAAGTCCTGAAAAGCCAGGGAAAAACCAAAACAGAGTCACTTCTGCTAGAGTTCCTAGTCACCAAGCTGAAACTAATGTTTTCCTAATTTTATGAGAAATCGTAAGTAGAGAGGTAAGAGCCATTTTTCCAAACAAGCATAAAAATGAAGTCCCCACTGCCTTAATTCTTACACAAACCCTTATCCATGTAAACCAGTAAGTTATTCCTCTGAGACAGACAGACTCAATATTCCCTAGGGAATTGGGGGAAGAGGTTAAGCACTGTTGAATACTGTTGGAATGATAGTTTTATATTGTGCTTTCTTCATGTCTGTATTTTAAGCACGTTATAATGTTTTTTTCCTGTGAATGAGTGGAACCACTGTTTAGACCTCTGAATGGTAGTGGATAGACCCTTCCCTATGCCTGTTATCCTAGAGTAAGGAATTCTCAGGTGAGAAGACCCTTCTATGGCAAATGGCTGGACTACCTTCATAGCAGCCCAACTGCTTTGGACACTTTGTAGTGACTCTGTAGAGTGTGTGGACACTCTAGATGCAAGGACCCCTAAAACTGAAGCCATGA